ATTATTTTATTCAAAGTAATCCCTTCATTAGTTTGATAAAACTGTAATTCTATAAATTAATTGTTAGCATCATCACTTGAGCCTTCTTTTCTCTCTCCATACCTCTCAGTGATCTCAACTCTCATGTATTCAGTTATCATTTCTGTTCTGATGACTCCAAAAATCTGTATATTTGGTCTAAATCTCTCTTCTGACTTCCATTCCTGCATCACTAATTACTTCATAGACTCTTCTCCTCTCCCTTCCCTATACCTTCTCTCTCCTTTCTCTTTGCTCCCCTCTTCCTTCTCCCTTTTCCCCTCTGTCCTTTTTCTATGTTACACACACACAGTAATATAAATTAGTTGCTAAATCTTGTCGTTATATGTACACATCTCCTGCATATGTTCCCTTCTCTCCTTGTTCATAGTTACAGCCTAGTTTGGGCTTTTATCACTTTTCATTTAGACCATTTCAATAGCCTCCTATTTGATGTCCTCGATTTTCCTTTCTCCCTTCTAATTCATCCATTGTAAAATAATTTTTTATTTTATATTGCTAAAATAATTTTTTAAAGAAAGTTTGACTTATAGATCTAACTCTAATTAGCAGTTTTTTGCTCAAGAATCTTTAATAGCTTTCTATTGTCTCTAGATAAAATATAGACTCCTCAGCATGGCATTTAAAGCCCTTTAATATTTACTTGAGCATACCTTTCTAGATTTATTTCACATTACTCATTTTCATGTGATGTTGCATTGAAACTGATCTATTTGCTATTTCTCAAATTCAGCATTCCTTCTCTAGTGCTGAAAAATATTTATTACCTTTTCATTTCTACCTCTTAGAATTCTTAGTTTTTTTCAAGACTAATTTCAGTGCCGCGTTCTATAGGAAATATTTCTTCAACTCTCTTAATGAGTAGTGCTCCCTCCTTCCTCGTTATCTTGTACTTTCCTCAGTGCCTGAGGCACCCTTACTCTGGAATTATCCCTGTGGTCTGCTCACCCTGGACTATTTCTCCACAAGATCCATCCTCATCCATTTAATGAGTTTTTCCTGGATCCTCTATTCTGTGGAAGAACCAAGGTTAGGCGGCCTTCATTCTCATCTTGGCCCTGTTAGTGACTTTCTGGATTTCAGAATCATATTCCCATGCCAACTCCATACCCCTTTTTAACTTTTTGTGTTGTTTTCCCCCATTAAAATATAAGCTCTTTGAGGACAGGGGCTGTCTTTCTTTTTTGCTTTTATTTTTATCACTAGGGTTTAGTATAGCGCCTGGCATGTCATTAGTGCTTAATAAATGCTTATTTCCTTCCTTCCTTATAATTACTTACTATTTATATATTCTGTTCCCTAGTAGAATATGTGGTTCTTAAGGTCAATAACTGATTTGTTTTGTTTGTCTTTTTATCCCTAGCACCTTACTCAGACCTTTCACATAATAAATGCTTATTGAATTTAATTAAATAAATAAATCCATTTGTTATGTATATGGAAGTACTTATTATCAACTCTAAAGAAAAGAATCTTTTCTTTGTTGATGGATTTTTAGTTTTTAAGAAGCACAAAATGTTTTGTTCTTAACTATACTAAATCCTAATATTTAATGAATTTATACCTAGGCTTTGGAGTTAAAACCGATCTTAGGATATCATCTGAGCCTGTTTTTTCCTTTTGCAAACAAGAGAACTGAGGAGTGGAGAAGTCAAAGGACTTGTGCAAAGATTTCACCCTTTATCCTCTTATTCCAAATTCAGTGTTCTTCCTATTTAAACTATGTTTTTATTCGTGCCTTAAAGCTGTGTTGCTGTTATTTAGCAATGGAATAATAAGCATTTTATTTATCATGTAATTTTATGTGGCATCCCTCTGTTTGACTTCAACATTTCCTTTAAATAAAGAAATTTTAAGAGAGGATTCTGAGAAGATGATGGAGTAGGTCAGAAAATTCCAAGCTTTCCAGATTTCCCCGATGAATGAGATAAAATAGTGCCTCAGAGCGAACATAGATCGTAAAAATAAATAAGAATAGGGGCAGAACAGTGGTCCTCCTGCAACAGTTGGAGAAGATTTGAAGAAAAATCCCAGGATGAGGTTTGGTCTCTGTGAAATGTAAACACCTCCAGGCTGGTTTCACTTAAACAACAAATGGGGAGCCCTGGAAGTAGTTGGGTTGTGAGCCAACCTTAACCCCAACCACAGAAACTTTTACCCCAAGAACAGTGATCAGTAGGGCATCTGAGTTGGGCATCTGAGCTGCGAAAGATTGAGGGAGCATCTGCTGACAAGGAATGCCAGATCCAGCTGTGCTGAAGAGACATGGCCCTGGCCAAGATGGAACAGAAGCAGTGGGGCAGGGACACTGCTGGCTGTGGGCAATTACTGGAGGCTGGAGATCTTGATTTCTCTTTCAGGCCAGAGGGGATAACTGAAGAACCTGAGGACAGAGGCACCATCGTCCATTCCCCAGAACTAGACATGGTTACAAATTTAACAACAAAAAAAAAAGAGCAGGCAAAAGAGAATTCAATTATAGAAAGTTACTAGGGGAATAGAGAAGACTGGGGTTCATCTTCAGAGGAGGATACTGAAGCAAGGAAACCCTATTCTACTCCAAAGAATAAAGTCAAATGGTCACCTGCCCAAAAAGAATTCATCGAAGAATTTTAAAAAGACTTTAAAAGACTTTAAAGACTTTAAAAATCAAATGAGAGAGATTGAGAAAAAACTATAGAAAAAAAGAACAATCCAAGAAAAATAAGAAGAATATGAAAAGAAGTCAGCTGATTAGAAAAGAAGGTCCAGAATCTTATGGAAGAAAATAATTCCTTGAAAATCAATATTGGACAATATTGAAACCCCAGCTCAAGGAGCAAATGTTATGAGCAACAAGAAGAAAGTACCTAAACATAGTTTAAATAGGAAAAAAACTGAATTTGGAGTAAGAGAATATAGGGTGAAATCTTGGCAGATGCCACAATTAGAATCACGTAAGACCTAGCAGTAGTGACATTAGCCCACCATATTTTATATATATAAATATATATGTATATATATGAGGTTTTTAAAATTATATATATGAGTTCTTTTGCTCTTCAATAAATACACATATATACATACATACATACATACATACTACATACAGTCACTATATATTGAAGAGCAAAAGAACTCGGATTCCCACTAAAATATGATGCCCAGCAAAGCCAAGCTTAATCCTGAATGAAAAAAAAAAACCAGACAGTTAATGAATTGTCAGACTTTCAGGATTTTGTTTAAAAACAACAACAACCTGCACTTAACAGATTTGACATACAAGAATCAAAAGAAATATAAGGCACATACCAGAGACTAATTACAAGGGACTCAGTAAGGACAAACTGTTTACCTTTTTTATAATGAAATGAAAAACATATGTCTAAGATTGTTACTAATAATTGGATAGTTCATAAGAAAGATTGGGGTAGATCTGAGTATGATGTGATTTTAAAAAGGAAAACTGTTTAAGAATAGCTAAAATAGTAATTATCTTATACAAATAAGGTGTGAGAGGAAGAACCGACACCGTGGAATTGGATGGAGGAGGAGGGCTATCAGTTCTGTAAACCGACTTTCATCGGGAATAGGTTCAAGAGGGAACAGTACATATATATCTGGAAGAGTATAAAAGTCTTCTAAATTCATAAAGAAATAAAATGCTAAGGGGATAGGGAGGGAGGAGAGGAAAAGGGAGATCTTTAGAGGAGAGAGTGAGGAAATAGGTTAAAGAGGAGTATAGAAGGGTTTTTAGATTAATGAGAATGGGAGGATAAAGGAGGGATCCTTGGAGGGAGGGTAGATTAAGTAATAGGGGGGCAGGGCAAGGTTGCAGGAGGAAGTAAAGTAGAGGAGTCAGGAGAGATAGGAAATAAGAGATACACACAAACATAAAATAAAGATCAGGAGTAGAATTTGTTAGGGAAAAAGTAGAAAGGGTGTTAATCATGATCTTAGACAAAGTTAAGGCTAAAATAGATTTAATCAAAAGAGAAAATTAGGGAAACTACAGTGTCAGCCATATTCATCAACATTTATTTGGACTATTTAAAACTACCAGGGATGGGGAAACTTTGGCTACATGTGGCCCTCTAGGTCCTCAGGTGTCACCCTTTGACTGAATTCAACCTTCACAGAACAAATCCCCATAATAAAAGGATTTGTTCTATAAAACTTAGGCTCAGTCAGAAGGCCACACCCGAGGACATAGAAGGCCACATGTGGCTTCAAGGCCACAGGTTCCCCACCCCTGAACTAGAGAGTATAAGGTTGGAATATTGCTGTGGTGTAGGAAATGACGAGTTGGTGGATTTGGAAAAGTATGGGAAGACTTGGACATATTTATGAAAGAAGAGGTTATTCACCCTCAGAGAAACAGAGGACAAATAAGTGTAGTGCAGTCTTACATAGATACATATGAATGTATATGTCTATCTATGAATATAATTATAGATATCTATATGCATGTATAAGTAATTGTGTGTATATATGTATGGGTATATGTATGTTTATATGTGTATTTCTTTGTGTGTATATGTGTATGTGTATATTTTTTATATATTACATACACACAAACCTGTGCTTAATTGTAGCCTTTGGGGGTGGGGAGAAAGGAGGGAAAAAGAACAAAGTAAAAAGTGCACAGTGCATAACAAAAGAAAACTTGAAGCAAAGAAAATATGGATATCTCTCAATACATTGTATAATATTTATTATATATTTATTATTTATTTATATGGACATTTATTGTTGCATATTTTCAATCCTCTCTTATGTTCTGCTGTGCCCATGGCAATGTTTTTTTTTTTTCTTTTCTTATTTTGTATTATTTTAGTTTTAGTATTTAAGTTTCTTTTTTCTTATTTGGTATTTAAGTTTAAAATAAAATTTACAAAAAAAGAAATATTAAAATCTTACTTTGATCTTTGTGGATAATTACATTATTTTGTTTATAAAAAGAACAATATCTTTCATTTTAGATTCTGATCATCTAGAACAGCAGTTGGAAGAAGCTAGTTCTATGAGGCGAGAACTAGATGATGCTTCTAGACAAATCAAGGCTTCTGAGAAACAAATAAAAATGCTAAAGCAAGAAAGAGAAGACCTTAATAAGGTAAAAAACAAAATTTTATTTTCATATCTTTCTGAATTCTCTAGCTTTTTCAGATAACATATTTAAACTATTTCACATTTCCACTGCCCTGCTTCAGCGGCTACTCACAGCTTACCAAAAAAAGTCCAAGCCTCTGATAGAAGGTTTAGTATGAACCTAAGCCTTCAGTCCAGCCTTATCTCATCCTGCTCTTTTACATACTCTGTGCTTTAAACAAGCCTGGCTGGTCTACTTAGTACATACTTCTGCATTTGCTAATGTTCTTTGTATTCTGGAATTCCTCATTGTCTTGAAAATTAGATCACATACTCCAAGCACTTAATAAGTGTGTTGGATAGAAAAAATCAAGAGGAATAAAAATAAAATTTCTTTATAATTTACTGATATGAATATTTAAAAATGCTATAATTTAGTATCCTTTTAATATATTTTTGCTGAGTTTTAAAATGCAATGCAAATTTAAAATTTCACATGTTGCATCCTTCCTTCCTCCCCAAAAATAACATACGTGCATTTCGAAATGAATTTCTAAAATCACCTATTAAACCCATTTATCATTTGAAACAGTATTTAAGCTAAGATATAAAGAAAATTTCATATTCTTTTATTTAAATTCCCAAGTATCTTTCTTTTTTTTTCTTTTTTAAAAATTTATTTATTTTTAGTTTTCAACATTTACTTCCACAAAATTTTGAGTTACAAATTTTCACCCCATCTCACCCCTCCCCCTCCCCCAAGATGGCATGCATTCTGAATATCCCTTCCCCTAGTTTGCCCACCCTTCTATCTCTCCCCCCCTTCTCTTATCCCCTTCCCCTTCTACTTTCCTGTAGGGCAGGATAGATTTCTGTAGTCCATTTCCAGTGTTTCTTATTTCCCAGTTGCATGTGAAAACATGTTTTTTAAAACATGTGTTTTTAAAACTTTGGGTTCCAAATTTTCTCCCTTCCTCCCTCCCCACCCACCCTCATTGAGAAGGCAAGCAACTAAATATAGGTTGTATATGTGCAGTTATGCAAAACACTTCCATAGTAGACATGCTGTGAAAAACTAACTCTATTTCCCTTAATCCTGTCCTACCCACCCATTTATTCTATTCTTTCTTTTGACCCTGCCCCTCCTCAGAAGTGTTTGCTTCTGATTACCCCCTTTCCCAGTCTGCCCTCCTCTCTATCATTCCCCTGCTCTCTTGTCTCCTTCTCCCCCTATTTTCCTGTAGGGTAAGACAGATTTCCATACCCAATTGAGTATGTATGTTATTCCCTTCTTAAGTCAAATCCTGTGAGAATAAGATTCACTCATTCCCTCTCACCTTCCCCTGTTTCCCCTCCACTGTAAGAACCTTTTTCTTTTCTGTTTTTTTGTGAGATTATTTACCCCATTCTACCTCTCCCTTTCTCCTTCTCCTAGTATAATCCTCTCACACCTTACTTTTATTCTCCCGATATGACCCCTTCATCTTCAACTCACCCTGTGCCCTCTATCTGTTATCTATCTATCTATATCTATATCTGTATCTATACATACATATAATTTTTTTCTCTCCAACTACCCTAATACTGACAAAGGTCTCATGAGTTATAAATATCATCTTTCCTTGCAGGAATGTAAACAGTTCAACCTTAATAAGTCTCTTAAGATTTCTCTTTCCTGTTTACTTCTTCATGTTCCACTTGAGTCTTGTATTTGAAAGTCAGATTTTCTATTCATCTGTGGTCTTTTCATGAAGAATGCTTGAAAGTCCTCTATTTCACTGAATGACCATTTTTTCTGGGAGACCGTGGTAACAGTTCCAGGGCAGAAAAGAGTGCTTGTGCATTTGTATCTGATGGTCCTATCTTGGAGGGCAGGGGGGAAGAAATTTACATAATAACTTTGTTATATATTTGGAGGGAATAGCAAGTGGTAGATTGTAGATTTGCAGTTTCATGTGCAATCATCTTTTTTATTATGCTGTGTTATGGAAATGCTTATTTTTTCCATGAATTGAAAATAAAATTAAAAAAAGAAAGAAAGAAAAGAGTGCTTGTGGTTATTCATGGAGGAGAGCATAGACCAGGAGAATTGTAAACACACCTCTCCATAGATCATACTAGCCTGGAAAAATTGAAAACTTATAGACCCCCACTCCTCCGCCCCAAAATTAGTTCTGGAAACAGCCGCACACAAAACCTAAGCTTTGGGACAGTGCCCCCTCCACCCTGGGAGAGAGACCAACTTTAACATGTAAAGCTGAAAGTCAAGAAGTAGGCTAGAAAAATGAACAAACGACAACAAAAAGAACCAGACCGTAGAAATTACTATTGTGAAAGGGAAGATCAAACAGAAACTCAGAAGACAACAAATTCAAAACTGCTACATCCAGAGCGTCAAAGAAAAATATGAATTGGTCTCAGCCCCAAAAAGTTCCTGGAAGAATTCAGAAAGAATTTTATAATTGAATTAAGAGAGGTAGAGAAAAAATTGGAAAAAGAAATGAGAGTGATATAAGAAAGTCAGGGGAAAAACAAAGTCAGGGAAAAAGTCAGCAGCTTGGTAAAGGAGGCACCAAAAAATACTGCAGAAAATTACATCTTAAAAATCAGAATAAGCCAAATGGTAAAAGAGGCACAAAAATCCACTGTAGGGAAGAACTCCTTAAAGGCCAAATAGAAAAAATATACAAAAATTCACTGAAGATAAGAACTCCCTAAAAAGCAGAATTGGCCAGATGGAAGAGGAGATACAAAAGCTTATTGAAGAAGATAATTCCTTAACAATTAGAATCGGACAATGATTCAACACAATCCCAAAGAACTAATGATGAAGCACACTATCTACCTCCAGAGAAAGAACTGATATTGTTTGAATAGAGACTGAAGCATGCTATTTTTCACCTTCTTTCTTTCATTTCTTTCTTTTTGTTTATGTCTTCTCAAATGAAATGACTAATATGAAAATGTATATCTGTTTGCTTACCATCTTAGGGAAGGGGAAGGAAAAAGAGGGAAAGATAGAATTTGGAACTCAAAACTTTAAATAAAAATGTTAAAGATAAATTAGAATAGGTAGGTGGAAGCTAATGACTCCATGAGACATCAAGAAATAGTAAAACAAAATCAAAAGAATGAAAAAAAATGAAGAAAATGTGAATTATCTCACTGGAAAACCAACTGACCTGGAAAATTGATGGATAAGAGGTAATTTAAGAATTATTAAACTGAAGTTTAGAGCCAAGATGGCAGAGTAAGCAATAAATTGCTGTAGCTCTCTCATATTTACCTCCAGACCACCTTAAAATAGCAACTCAGAATAAATCCTGGAGCAGCAGAGACAGCAGAAAGATGGGGTAGAGTGGCCTTTTAGCTTAAGAGACTTGGAGGATTGGCAAGAAAGATCCTTCTCACTTGGGTAAAAGGGGAGTGAATTACAGGACAGGAAGCAACCCAGCAAGCCAGCAACAAGCTCCACCTCATCAAATGAGCAGGAGCCCCTGTATGGTAGAGCAGGGAAATGCCAATAGCAAAACTCCCTATGTGTCTTAGCATAGCCAGGGGAACCAGCAGACTACAGCTCTGAGAACCAGCATATGTGTCAGTGTAGCCCCAGGTGGGCAGGTGTACTCCAGTGGCCAGCCTCCACATGTTTCAGCACAGCCCAGGGCAGATGGGCATATTCTGGTGGCCTGAGTGTGCTTCAGCACAGTCCTGGGCAAATAGGTATCCTCCAGGGTCCAGATCTCCATGTGCTTTAGTGTAGCCCTGGGGAAATGTAGAAACACCCCACCTGGCCTTAGCACTTGCTAGAAACCACCACTTAGACCTCAGTTCAGCATCAGGTAAGCTGCTAGACCTCTACAGCCTCCAGCAGCACCAGCCACACCCCCACCCAAACCCCTCAATACAGCACCTGACATGAGAGTCCCCTGTGGACCTCAGGGTACCATCAGTGCAGCACTAGGTAAACAGCCAGGGCCTGCCGCCACTGGCACAGGAAGCCTGAGATAGAGTCCCTTCCACCCTGGGAGCAGAGATCAAATTTAAAAGAAAGGGAAAAGACCCTTCCCCCCCCCCAAAAAAATAATCTGACAATAGAAGAGTATGGTGACACCAACTCAGAAGAGGACAACAATGTCAAAACATCTAGGGGCAAAACCCCGAAGAAAAACAAGAAGTGGTCTCAAGCCCAGAAAGAACTCGTGGAAGAGCTCAGAAAAGAGCTTAAAAATCATATAAGGGGGCAGCTAGGTGGCGCAGTGGATAGAGCACCAGCCCTGAAGTCAGGAGGACCTGAGTTCAAATCCGGCCTCAGACCAAACACTTGACACTTACTAGCTGTGTGACCCTGGGCAAGTCACTTAACCCCAATTGCCTCAAAAAAAATCATATAAGAAAGGTAGAAGAAAAACTTGTAAAAGAAATGAGAGTGATGCAAGAGAATTATCCAAAACAACTCAACAACTTGGAAAACTGCTTAAAAAGAATTGGCCAAATGGAAAAGGAGATACAAAAATCCACTAAAGAAAACAGTTCCTTAAAGAGTATATTTGGCCAAATGAAAAAGAAAGTACAAAAGCTAATTGAGGAAAACAACACCTTAAAAATTAGAATTGGGCACATGGAAGCTAATGACTCTATAAGACATCATGAATCAAACAAATTCAAAAGAATGAAAAAATGTAAAATACCTCATGCGAAAAACAACTGACCTGGAAAATAGATGCAGGAGAGTGAATATCAGAATCACTGAACTACCTCAAAGCCATCAAAAAAAACAGGAGGACCTGGACAATATCTTTCAAGAAAACATCAAGGAAAACTGCCCTGAGGTCCTGGAACCAGAGGGTAAAATAGATGTTGAAAGAATCTACCAATCACCTCAGGAAAGAGATCCCAAAATAAAAACCCCAAGGAATATTATAGGCAAATTTCAGAACTATCAGGTCAAGGAAAAAATACTGAAGTGGCCACACAGAAACAATTCAAATTTTAGGGCGTCACAATCATGATCACACAGGACTTGGCAGCTGCAGCATTAAAGGATTGAAGGTCTTAGAACATGATATTCCAGAAGGCAAAGGAACTAAGACTATAATCAATAATCACATACCCGGCAAAACTAAGCATAATACATCAAGGGAAAATATGGTGATTGAACAAAATAGAAGGATTTCAAGCCTTTGTAAGGAGAAGACCAGAACTAAACCAAAAATTTGACATCTAATATCAAGACCCAAGAGGAGCATAAGCAAGTAAAGAGGGAAAAGAAAACAAAAGGGATTCAATGGAGCTGAACTGTTTACATCTTTATATGTGAAGGTGATACTTGTAACTCTTAAAATTTATATCACTAACAGTACGGGTAGAAGAAATATACATAGACACAGGGTATGGGTGTAAGGTGAATTTGAGGGAATGACATAAAAAATTAAGGAATGAGGAAGAGGAATACCATAAGGGGCAGCTAGGTGGCGCAGTAGATAGAGCTGTAGCCTTGGAGTCAGGAGGACTGAGTTCAAATCCAGCCTCAGACACATGACACTTGCTAGCTGTGGACCCTGGGCAAGTCACTTAACCCTAGTTGCTTCAACAAAAAAAAAAAGAGAAGCATAAAAAGGTAAACACAAAACAGATACCATAAAGGATTCAGTAACTCCTAAGATCCTTCTCATTATTAGAGCTATTAGGAGTCTACATAGACAAGTGGGCCCAGGTTTGATTTGACTGTAGTGGGATGATAACTAAAAAAATTAAATTAAAGGGTGAAAAGTAAGGATGCACTGGGAGAAAGGGAAATGGAGAGGAAGAATGGGTAAATTATCTCACAGAAGAGAGGCATAAAAGAGCTTTTACAGTGGAGCAGAAGATGGGGGAGGTGGCATGGAGCACTCAAAACTTATGGAATTGGCTCAAAGAGAGAATCACATACATACTCAAGTGGGCATAGAATCCTATCTTTCCCTACAGGAAAGGAGGAGGGGAATGGGATAAGACAAAGTGGAGGGAGGGCATCTAATAGACTAGAGGGTGGATTGAGGGAGGCAGCAGTCAGAAACAAAACACTTTTGAGAATGGACAAGATAAAAGGAAAGAGAGAGTAGGATAAATAGGGAAAACAGGATGGAGGGAAAAACACAGTGACCATAACTATGAAAAACATTTTACAGTAAGTTCCTCTGACAAAGGCCTCATTTTTCAACTATATTAGATAACTGAGTCAAATTTATAAAAAATAAGAGCCATTCCCCAATTGATAAATGGCTGAAGGATATGAAGAGACTTTTTCAGATGAGTTATCAATGCTATATACATATATAGTCATATGAAAAAATCCTCTAAATCACTGTTGATTAGAGAAATGCAAATTAAACTATCTCTAAGCTACCACGCAACACCACTGAGATTAGTCAATATGACAGAAAAGGAAAATGATAAATGTTGGAGGGGATGTGAGAAAATTGAGACACCAATACATTGTTGGTGGAGTTGTGAATTGATCCAACCATTCTGGAGAATAATTTGGAACCATGCCCAAAGTGCTATAAAACAGGCATACCCTTTGACCCAACAGTATCACTATTAGGTCTGTATCCCAAAGAGATAAAAAACAAAAAGGAAAAGGACTACCTGTATGTACAAAAATATAGCATCATGGTGGCAAAGAATTGGAAACTGAAGGGATGTTCATTAATTGGGGAATGGCTGAACAAGTTGTGATATATGATTGTGATGTAATACTATTATGCAATGAGAAATGATGAACAAGATGCTCTCAGAAAAACCTGGAAAGACATACATGAACTGATGCAAAGTCAAATGAGCAGAATGAGAAGAACATTATACACAGTAATAGCAATATGGTACAAGGACCAACTGTGAATTCCTTAGCTATTCTCAGCAATGCAAGTACTTATAATGAAAAATGCTAGCCCTCTCCCACGAGAGAATTGATGAACCCTGAGTGCAGTGTGAAGCATACCTTTTTTTACTTTCTTTCTTGTTGTTTTTTTCTTTTCTTTTTTTGGGGGGGGGGTCTTTTTTCTTTCACAACATGACTAATATCAATATGTGTTTTGCATGACTGCATATGTATAACCTATATCAATGAGGGAAGAGAAGAAGAAGGGAAGAAGAGAATTTGGAACTCAAATATTTTTTAAATGAATGTTAAAAATTGTTTTTCTGTGTAATTGGAGGAAAATAAAATATTAAATTTAAAGAAGAAAAATAGTTTATTCAGAGGATTTAGTTTATTTTTAAATCTAAATTGTGGATTTGATGATTTTTATAAAAAATATTTCAGCTAGGTTGACCTAGATCCTTTTTTCCATAAATAATTTATGTAATACTTCTACATTTAGGCAAAGGTAGTTATTCCCTGAGAGAGGCAAAATTGTCATTTTTTTCAAAGTCTTAGTATCATAATAAGCACCATAATAAGGAACTTGGTTTTTCTAATTAACATACTTTCTGTGACATAGTTTGCTCTCCTGTTTCTTACTTTAAAAAAAATCAACGTTTTGATTGTACTACAACTCATTTGAAGGACTTCTTAGAAAACTGTATAACTTGCATATTAGAATATAATGCTAGCTCGGCTAGCTACTAGAATGTGATAGCTGTTTTGAAGATTTGTTTTCTTTGCTGTCCAAAGTAGAAACAACTTAAATTAAAACTTCAAGATAGCCTTTGAATGGTTGTTATTCTTAGATTTTAATAAGATCTTTAGAGTTTAGTTTTTGGGTTGTTGTTTACTCTATGTACATAAAAGTTTGATTTCATAGATGTAGATAGAGGTATTAGGATGACATAGACATAAAAATATATGGCTCATGAGTATATTTGTTTGTATGCCAAAACACATATTGTGCTCAGGCCAAACTTTTTAAAAAATATGTGAAACTTAAAAAAAAATTTTAAGTTGTGAGCAATATATGTTAAAAAAAAACCATTTGTTATCAAAAAAGAACAGAACTATCAACCTAGTGCTGCATTAATTCAGTGTGTATTCACTTTTACTTAGTATATATTTAAAAGGGTTTTATGTCATTTTAGATCTACTGCAAATCTTCTTGACCTAGGAGTTTTATCTAGTTACAGTATAGATTTCAAGGCCAAAATTGTAACTTTTGACCTCACAATAGTAGTTTATATATTCAGAATTATTTAGCAATATAATAACAGTAATTAAGCTAACATTTACATAACACTTTAAGGTTTGCAAAAGCACTTTACAAATATCTCAGCTTATCCTTTAAAAAAAAAAGATAGATACTATTGTTATCCTCATTTACAGACCAGAAAAATGATGCAATCAGAGGTTAGGTGACTTGCATAGAATCATTCTTCTAGTGTGTTTCTGAGGCCACATTTGAAGAAAGGTTTCTGACTCTAGGCTAGATACTGTATCCATTTTGCCACCTACCTGCCTCTAGTGGCAGTTAATCTTCTATGTGTAGTTAGGATATGTGGTGACAGTCTTGTACATGTATTGAGCCAAATTTAGTTACCGTGGAAAATATTCTGATATTTATCTTTAAACAGTGTCTTTCCCCCAGATTTTCTAGATTTTAGTGATATTAATAGTTCTTACGTTAGCCTTGTGATTAAAGGTTATATTAATATCACCTTTGATATATATCACTTTATAATATGTGATTACTGACGTCACATATCGTTAATACCAGAAAGGTGATAATAAAAAACCTTGAGCCACAAAGTGAAGTAACCTTAAAAATATTCTAGCTTTTTATATAGTTTTTAAGCAGAATTAGGAAGATATTTTACAGATAATTATGAAGCCTCTTCAAACCATTTATACCCCTTCTCAAATATATTGCCAATACCCCCCCTCCTCATCTACATATCTGCTGGCTCTTCTCTACGTTATTTTTTACATATCTTTCAATCCTTTATACCTCTTTAATTTCTTTCAAAGTATGTCATAAAAACATACTTCCAAAAGTTTAAGTAATTTATTCATTGTTGCATTGCATATTTACCTCAAGAACTCAGACTATAATCCAGTCTGGTTAAAGGCTCTTCTTGGTTTCTTTAAACAATTCATCTCTTTCATTTTTGTCCTTGAATTTGCAAAAGTGACTCCTCCTGACTGTAATGATGACTGCATTATTTGGCCTCTTATCTTCTGAATTGGTAACTTGTATTCTTTTTACAACACTGTAGGAATTAATAGAGTCTAGTGAGCGATTAAAATCCCAAACCAAAGAACTGAAAGACGCACACAGCCAGCGGAAACTGGCCATGCAAGAGTTTTCGGAGATGAATGAGCGGTTGACAGATTTGCACTCCCAGAAACAGAAGCTTGCTCGCCAAGTCCGAGATAAGGAAGAGGAGATGGAATTGGTGATGCAAAAGGTTGAAAGCTTAAGGCAAGAACTGCGTAAAACAGAAAGAGCCAAAAAAGAGGTTAGTAGTCAGGCAAATTCTGTAGTGGCTGTGGAATAACAATGGAAGCTCCTTTTTCAGATAATTTGAAGTAATACGTCTCTATATCACTGTATTTTTTTCACATATGAAAAATCATTACTATCTTAGGCGTAGACCTCTTTTAGTTTCATCATAGTTATTCAGTGAAGATTTGGATATTTGGCTTTACTCTCTAATAAATATTGTCTACATAAGGAGGAATATATTATTTTTATTTCTGAATTATAAAAATGAAAACTTGCTATTGGTTTTCTTTTTAAGTTGGAAGTCCATGTAGAATCTGCAGTTGCAGAGGCATCTAAGGACAGGAAACTGCGTGAACGGAGTGAACAGTATTCTAAACAGCTGGAGAATGAATTAGAGGGATTAAAGGTCAGTATGCTTTGCTTTTTTTGAAGTTATTTACCTCTTTTTTCCCTTCAGATCTAGGCAAATGCTAGCTTATTGCCACTTTGGATGTGTAAGGAGAAACAAAGTGCTCCTAGTTCTTTGTTATGAAAAAGTAAGAAAAGTTTGGAGATTCTAGTCTATATGTGTATACATACATACATACACACACATATATATGTATGTATATATACACATACACATATAGAGAAAGAGAGATAGAGAGATGTTTGATTATGCATACCAAAGCATGTCTACAAATATGATATAGCATTGTGCCAGTTTCTGGTTATGTGGTACAAATGTACTTCTTGAATTGCATTTTAAAATATCAAGAAAGTTGTTTTTCCTTTAAAATTTCAGTTGTTTTATGTGCTGAATTTTAATCAAAAATACATTTATAGCATAAATCTGTATGTGGATATGCATGTGCATATACATTCAGATATAGATATGTAATTTACTATTTCTTAAAGAATATAAATAATGATGATAGAACTGTTGAGATTGTTTTATATAAGTAGGTTAGCATATTTAGGATGTTCAGGTGACTAAGGACCTCACTAAATTGCTTTGTAGCTCACCTACTGTATATCTGGTCCTCAAGTTAATTAGTAATTTAAATATTGGTACTAATAGTAAGTGGCACTTCTCTGTTAAGTAGACCTCTTTGTGCCACAGTGAAAAACCTCAGACTAAGAAAGGCATCCAAGAATAGGAAAGAAAAACTAGAAGCAGAAGGACCTGACTATGACAACTGAAAATGGAACTTGATATGGGTTTTCTCAGTCCTCAAGAACAACTTAAAATGTTTTGTCATGGCCTTGAGCTCCTGACAAAGATATTTGGAGAATATTTTGGACGATTTATTGGATTGGATTGGAGAGATTATTATTATTGGACAGATAACTTGGATAGAAAAAATATTAAAGCTTCAACGATTAATGTGATTATTCTCAGGTCTTTAACAGCATGGAAGGTTTAAGACCATAAGACTTATTGAGTAGTGTTCCTTACTGACCCAGATACTTGGATTTCTTTCTGTTCAGTTGAATTAGGTGCCTTCTGTGAACACTTTGCTTAACCCTGGAAAAGATGTGAAATTTTAAGATAATATGATTCGTGTACTCATCACTATGGTGATATGACCTATCTAGTTATCCCAAATATATACCATTTAGAAAATAATATTTTATTTATTTTGAATGATGATTCAACTACCTACACAAAACCTTTTATGTAGATTATCTTTCTTAATATATTTATTGCAAAGCAACTAGCTTTTTCTACTTGTTTCAACACTGTTTAGAATAAGTATGTATTTTTAGCTGAAATAATTTCTAAAAGCTGTGCATATATAGTGTTTATTTAGTGTTAAGGGCTATAAAGGGGTCCCCTGAATTTACCTTTTTGAGTTGCCATATTTTCCAGAAACATTGGACCCAGAGCATGTTGGAGGCTCTGAATATGTCAAGTACGAATCTCTCTCTGAGCTGACATATTATGTTGTTGCACCCCAAGCTAGACTGCCTGTGTGTCCTTGGGAGGCAAGACAGACACTTGCCAGTCTATGTCAGGCTGGGATAATACTTGTGTAGCTGGGGTCCTTTGCAGATAAGCAGACCCTCCTATCTTCACAGTCTAACAGTTTCCAAGGGAAAAGAATAAGGCTTTTGCTATCACCTTGCTTCTCTGCATGGGGTATTGTCTTGTCTTTTTTCCCATCTTTGTTGCACCATTCCCCCTCCTGTGTCACATCCCTTCTTAGTATCCCCTCTTCCCTTTGTCCTGCTATTATAAAAATGTAAACTTCTGTAAAGACTGGGAACCCTTTGGGTTCCACATGTGTATTCATTTGTGTTATAATAAACCTGGTTTTCACATAAGTCTTGTGATTTCCTGTTAGCATTAGATAAACATATGCCTGTCTTTATTGCAGAACTGAGTTGGTACCATTTCACTGTTCTGTTTGGTAAGAGTTCTCCGTTATTTTTCTAGCAAAAACAGATTGGTCGCTCACCAGGTATAAGCAGCATAGAACATCAGCAAGAGATAACCAAACTAAAGGCTGACTTGGAAAAGAAAAGTATCTTTTATGAGGAGGAATTATCCAAAAGGAATGTAATACATGCAAATGAAATTAAAAATCTGAAGAAAGAACTGCGTGATGCAGAAGGCCAGCAGCTTGCCCTTAAGAAGGAGATTATGATTTTAAAAGACAAATTAGAAAAGACCAGGAGAGAGAGGTAAGGACATCAATATGAGTTGGAGAGATATCGCATGCAATTTATGGTTATGAATTTACTGTCCTTGAAGGAGTAATATGTATAATTTTCTTTTAGAGCATTTGTTCCAATGTAATAGGAGAATCTATAAAACAAATTTTGTGTACCGGGCAAAGTTACCATACAAAAAAGAGACATTAATCTTACAGCTGGCGGGCAGGTGGGATTGCACATTAATTCATAAAATTACAAATTTTCAGATTTGAAAGAGAACTTAAGAGCCCATATGATCCTGATCCATATATCAGTCATTTCTACAAATATACTCATTGTGTGGTGACTTAGCTCTTAGTTAAAGACATCTAACAAGGGATGGGGAATTAGAGGGAGGCCCATAGCTTTCTCAGGTTGCCTATTCTACCTTTGTTAGATCATTCAACAGGTAACAAAAGTAGGTTTACCTAACTGCAACATTGATATTAGTAGATATTAATCACATCACACAAGTGAAATCCTCATATCTTTCTCAAATAAATTATCATTTACCCACCCAACCTCTACTCCCACCCATCCCTATCCCTAGTCTTATACTTTAACTGAAGTGTAAAATTTTGCATTTATCCCTATTAACATTAAAGCCTGTACACATCTTTTTTGATCCTGGCTGTTTCATTCAACATAATAACTTACCCTCCGAGTTTTTGTTTAGCTGCAAATTTTATACATATGCCATTCATCTCTTTTATTCTTTTATCTTAGTCATTTATAAAAAATATTTAATGTTGTTGAGTTGTTTCTAGCTATGTTTAACTCTTTGTGTCCCCCATTCAGGGTTTTGTTTTTGTTTTTTTTTTTTGGTTTTGTTTTGGTTTTGGGTTTTTTTGGCAGAGATACTGGAGTACTTTACCATTTTCTTCTCTGGTTCATTTTACAAATGAGGAAACTAAGGTAAACCAGGTTAAGTGACTTTCCCAGCGTGACAGAGCTAGCAAATGACTGAGGTCAGATTAGAACTTAGGTCTTCCTGACTCTAGGTCTGGCACTCTCTCCACTGCACCACTTAACTTCCAAAAAAAAAAAAGAAGTTAAATAGTGCAGAGCTAAGAACAGATCCCTAGATGGTGTGGTGGAAAGAGTGCAGGGCCCAGAGTCAGAAAGCCCGAGTTCAAATCTGACCTCAGAGATGTATTAGTTTTGTGACTGTAAAATGAGCTAGAGAAGGAATTGGCAGACCACTTCAGTATCTTTGCCAAGAAAACCCCAAATTCAGACACGACTGAAAACAACTGAATAACAACAACAACAACTAGATCCCTGAAACATTTCATTAGAGATCTCATACGAAATTAGATATATAACTGTTCATGGGTCCTCATGGTACTGACCATTTATAAAGTTTCAAGCCCTACCAGCTATACTTTTATCTCGCCTGGTTAACCCACAACTCTCCATCTGATCCACAAGAGTAACACTAGTGTCTTTGTCTCATACTTTCATAAAATCTAGGTAAATTATGTCTACAGCATTCCATTGCAACCTGTAAAACAAGAAACAAGGGAAGTCTGGCATGATCCATTCTTGAAAGTCATGTATGGCTGGCTTTTTAGTCATTTGGTAACCTTCACTTTAATAATACATTCTAGAATTTTGCCAGGCAGTAATCAGTTAAGTTCACTGACTGCAATGTGAAGATGACTCTCTTTCTATTTTTTAAAATTGGGGTAACATTTGCCCTTCAAGTTATTTTGTATCTTTTCCATTTTCATTGTTCTGCCCAAGATCAGTGACTGACTCAGAAATCACTGAACATATTTGACCTGATCCTGGTGACTTGAACTCATTAAGGACAGCAAAGTTCCCTCTTGGTGTCCCTATTTATTTTGGCTAGCAATTCCTTATTAGCTAGTTTTGTATTCTTTCCAATTCAGATTATTCCCCTTAGCAAAGAAAATAAATGAAATAAAAGTTCTGCCTTCTCTCTGTTATTATCATTTTGATCTATGTCCAGATTGCTACAGTTTTACCCCTACTTTGATCTGTTTCTTTTTCCCAGTATAGCTAAAAAAAATTTTTTTTTTTGTTATCCTTAGTATTCCTTGCAAGTATCAGCTCATTCTGACCTATTTAATGTTTTAAGCTGAGGTCCAGAAACCCAAATGCTGCCCTCAGATACAACCTTCTTAACTGTTTATTTCCCAAATCTGCCTTTGTAAAGCTCATACCTTTGATCAGTACCAGTGATGAAAATACCATCTGTAGTCCTAAGGTCTTCAATTAACTCATGGAACAGAAAACATCTTCTGTCTATCAGACTATGAAATCTTGAAAACTGAGACCTTAGTTTGCCCTAAACTTATTAAGCCAAATGGATGCTTTTTGGTCTATCTTCCCAAAGTCATTTCCCTTATTCAATAATTAAGTTGAGGAATTGCCAAATTTCCAATTTTTAGCCACCACAAAAGAGCTGCTATAAATATTTTTATACAAATATATAATTTTCCTTTTCCTTTGATCTCTCTGAAGTATAGACTTCATACAGTGGTATGACTGGGTCAAGAGTATGCAAAATTTTATAGTCCTTTGGGCATAGTTAACTATCCAAATTGTTCTCCCGAATGGTTGGACCAGTTCACAACTCCACCATAAGTTCATTAGTGTATGTACTTTTCCTTATCCCCTCCAGCAATTGTAATTTTTAAAAATTTTTTAATAAATTCATTTATTTTTAGTTTTCAACATTCACTCCCATAAGATTTTGAGTTCCAAATTTTCTCCCCATCTCTCCCCTCCCTCCACCCAAGATGGCATGTAAATTGATATAGGCTCAACATACATATTCATATTAAACCTATTCTCACATCAGTCATGTTATATAGAAGAATTAGAATCAATGGGAGAAACCACGAGAAAGAAGAAACAAAAAAGAAAAAGAAAAAAAGAGAGAGAGAGAGAGCAAATAATATGCTTTGATCTGCATTCAGACTCCATAGTTCTTTTTCTGGATATGGACAGCATGTTCCATCATGAGTCTTTTGGAATTGTCTTGGATCCTTGCATTGCTAAGAAGAGACTGGTCTGTCAAAGTTAGTCATCACACAATGTGGCTGTTCCTGTGTACAACATTCTCCTGGTTCTGCTCATTTCACTCAGCATCAGTTCATATACATTTTTCCAGGTTTTTCTGAAGTCTGCCTGCTCATCATTTCTTATAAAATAATAGTATTCTATTACATTCATATACCATAACTTGTTCAGCCATTCCCCAAGTGATGGGCATTCCCTCAATTTCCAGTTCTTGGCCACCACAAAAATGTTTACTTTTTTTATGTTTCTTTCGAGTCTTGTGTTTGAATGTCAGATTTTCTGTTCAATTCTGGCCTTTTCATCAAGAATGCCTGAAAGTCCTCTCTTCTGTTATATGTTGATTTTCCCCTTGAAGGATTACTACTCAGTTTTGCCAAGTAGGTTATTCTTGGTTGTATTCCTAGCTCCTTTGCTTTCTCAAATATCATATCCCATGCCCACCAATCCTTTAGTGTGTAAGCTGTTAAATCTTGTGTTATCTTGACTGAAACTCTGTGTTATTTGAATTGTTTCTTTCTGGCTGCTTGCAATATTTTCTCCTTGACTTGAGAGCTCTGAGATTTGGCTATAATATTCCTAGAAGTTTTCATTTTGGAATGTCTTTCAGGTGGTGATTGGTGGATTTCCTGGATAATTTCTTGAAATATGATGTCTAGATTCATTTTTTGATCATGGTGTTCAGGTAGTCCAATAATTCTTAAATTATCTCTCCTTGATCTCTTTACCAGATCAGTTAGTTTCTAATAATATATTTCACATTTCTTTTTATATTTTTTTCTTTCTTTTGACTTTGTTTTACTATTTCTTGATGTCTCATAGAGTCATTAGCTTCTACTTTCCCAATTCTGATTTTTAAAGAATTATTTTCTTCAGTGAGCTTTTGTACCTCTTTTTTTCATTTGGCCAATTCTGCTTTTTAAGGACTTTTTTTCTTCGTTGAATTTTTGTGACTCTTTTACCATTAGGCCAATTCTGTTTTTTAAGGTGTCATTTTCTTCAGTATTTTTTTGGGGGTGGCCCTCTTTTACCAAGTTGTCAATTCTCTTTTCATAATTTTCTTGCATCACTGTCATTTCTTTTCCCATTTTTTCCTCTGCCATTCTTATTTCTTTCCTTAATTCTTCCAGGAATTTTTGTTAGTCTTGTGTCCAATTAGCATTTTTTTCTTTGAGACTTTGCTTATAGCTATTTTTATGTTGTTGTCTTCTGAGTTTGTGTCTTGGTCTTCCCTGATGCTAGAGTAGTTTTTTATGTTCAGGTTCTTACTTTGTTTTTTGCTCATTTTCCCAGTCTATTTCTTGACTTTTTTACTTTATTTTAAAGTCGAGTTCTGCTCACTTAGAGGTAGGGAAGCACTGTCCCATTCTTTAGGCTTTTGTGTGCTGCTGATTTTTTTTTGTTTTTGTTTTTTTGTTTTGTTTTGTTTTGGTATTAATTAATTTATTTTGATTTATCAACAATCACTTCCATAAGCTTTTGAGTTTTAAATTTTCCTCTCCTTCCTTCCCCACCTCCTCCCCCAAGACGGCACACAATCAGATGTAGGCTATACATATATATTCCTATTAAACATATTTTCAAATTAATGATGTTATAAGTAACAATTAGAACCAATAAGAGGAACCACAAGAAAGAGGAAACAAAACACAACAGAAGAAAAAAAGTAGCAAATATTATGATTCAAACTCCATAGTTCTTTCTTTGGATGTGGATAGCATTTTCCATCATGAGGACTTTGGAGATGTCTTAGATCCTTATATTGCTGAGAAGGGTTTATTAAGTTTATCAATATTAGTCATTACACAACGTGGCTGTTACTGTGTACAATGTTCTCCTGGTTCTGCTCACTTCACTCAGCATCGGAGCATACAAGTCTTTCCAGGTTTTTCTGAGATCAGCCTGTTCATCATTTCTTATAGCACAACAGTATTCCATTA